CGACCTCCTACAGGCATCATTGGTTACCGACTTTCTGATTGAAAAAGACGAGTTGTTTGCGCGTCTGACCTTAGATGATGAGGAGTTCGGACTTTATCAACAGATCCAGAAGAGCCTGCAACTCAACCCACCCACGCCGAACCTGGTGATCTATCTGCAGGCGCCTGCGGATGTATTATTGCAGCGCATCGAACAACGCGGACTGGCCTTTGAAAAGGGTATCGACGCCGACTACCTGCATGCCCTGACAGAAAGCTATACAGAGTTTTTTTACTACTACGACAAAGCGCCTCTGTTGGTGGTCAATGCCAGTGAAATTGACTTCGCTAACAACGACGATCATTTTGCTGCGTTGCTGGGTCAGATCATTAAGATGGAAGGCGCGCGGCAGTTTTTTAATCCAAACCCCGTGCTGTTATAACGCAGGCTATGTGCGTTGAGTCACAATACTGCCTCAATTAAGCCAGCTGCAGCGCTCAGGGCAAGGATAGTGCACAAAATGGATGCGTTTTTAGCATTAGAATGCTCGCGATTGGACGCAACATTTTTGACGATAGAAATCTGCAATGATTATCGCTAGGACAGCTACGCATCTCGCATCCGAACTGGATGCACTTCGCTTCAAGAACGGCGCACAGCGTTGTGTCAGTTTGGTCACAACCCGAGGTGGATTCCACGACGGACACGGCACCGTTATCAATGCAGCCGATACCGTCAGCGATATCGTTGTTGTCGCTGTGGCGCCGGAACCCAACCAGAAAAACGGTAACTTGGTGACTGCATCGGAATTTCAGGACATCAGTTTCCTGGAAAACCACCATGTTGATCTACTTTATGCCCCGGCTGACGATGAACTGTTTCCACACAGTTTCGAATTCATGATCGGCGTCGCACAACCTCACGCCTGTGATGTTGTTGATGTGGGTGCCTATCGACTGACCCAGCATTTGAAACTCATAAATGCCGTGCTGCCCAATATCATGGTCTGGGGCGAAAAGAACTTTGTCGAGTTTCACAGCGTTCGTCAGATGATCAACAATCTGGATATACGCACACAAATTCAATGTGTACCGACGCTGCGCCACGCTGACGGAGTGGCCGTATCAAGCGCCGCAGAAAACATGACCGCTGCAGAGCGCGCCAATCTGCCTATCCTCTACGAAACATTGAACAACGTTGCCCACGCAATCCGCACCGGCGCTAGAACTTTTTCTAATCTGGAAAAGACCGCGCGTTTAGCACTGAGGGGTGCCGGTTTACAGATTCAATACTTCAAAATACTGGATGAAGAAAACCTGGGTGCCGCCAGCGAAAAAACCACAACCTATCGAATCCTTGGTGGCGTTAAACTGGGTAACATTCCAGTCAGCGACAGCATAGGGTTAACGCTTTGACAGCAACACAATCGCCCGCGTGGCAACACCTTCAGAACCTGACCGACCCGCTCACCCAGCAACCCCTTAAAAGCCTACTCAATGACAAGCAGCGCGCACAGCGACTGCAGCATCAGCTGGCGGGCATTTGGTTTGATTTCAGCAAGCAGTGGGTAGACGGGGTGGTACTGGATGGGTTAACCGCACTCGCCCATGACCGCAACGTGATGTCCCAGGCAAAAGCCATGCTGGCAGGTGAAGCCATCAACCTTTCCGAAAATCGAGCTGTTTTACATAGCGCGCTACGTGGCGGAGCACCGGCTGCGGACAAAGACATGCAGGATCAGGTCAACAAAACCCTGAGCAGGATGTTCAAACTGGAAGCGGATATCACCAGCGGCAGATGGCGCGGCTATACAGGCAAAGTCATCACCGACATTGTCCACATCGGTATTGGTGGTTCTCATCTCGGTCCGGAACTGGTGGTTAACGCGCTGGTCGATCATAAAACGAATAGTCTGCGCATCCATTTTGTGGCCAATATCGATGCCGCTGAATTGACCCGCACGCTGGCTTTGTGCCAACCGGAAACAACGCTGTTTATCATTGCTTCAAAGTCTTTTGGTACCCTTGAAACCCAGGTCAACGCGAAAAGCGCACGCAGCTGGTTTCTCGAGCGTACCGGCAGCCTCGAAGGCATCGCAAAACATTTTGTTGCTATAACAACCAATCTGTCCGCCGCTAAGGCATTTGGCCTGGACGAGGCAAATTTATTCCCACTATGGGACTGGGTCGGCGGCCGCTTTTCTCTATGGTCAGCGGTAGGTTTGCCCATCCTGATGAGCATCGGCAAACAGGGGTTTGAGGCATTTCTCGCCGGCGCAAAGGAAGTAGATACACACTTTGCCACAGCGCCTGCTGCGGCCAACGTGCCACTGCTCAGCGCATTGCTGGCGACCTGGAATTACAACTTTCTCGGCGCGCGCAGCCTTGCCGTGCTGGCTTATGATGAGCGCCTTAAGCTACTCCCCGACTACCTGCAGCAGCTCGAAATGGAAAGCAACGGTAAATCCGTGAACCGAGCAGGCGAGCGCGTAGATTGCGCCACTATGCCTATTCTCTGGGGCGGTACGGGCACTAAAGGCCAGCACGCTTATCACCAGATGCTGCATCAGGGCACGCATGAGTTTACTGCGGATTTCATCATCGTCGCACAAGATGAACATAATTATCCTGAACACCATAACTGGTTACTGGCTAATGCTCTGGGACAAAGCCAGGCAATGGCCATCGGGCATTTGCCCGCTGAGAACGAACCTCACAAAGCCGTTGCGGGTAACCATAGCACCACCACAATTGTTCTGGACGCACTGGCTCCCAGGCAACTTGGCGCTCTACTGGCCACCTACGAACATAAAGTTTTTTGCCAAGGCGCTATCTGGGACATAAACTCCTTTGATCAATGGGGGGTTGAACTCGGCAAGCGCTTGGCGGAGCCCATCTATGCGCAACTGGCTGGTCACACCGGCCAGCCCGCAACACAGGATCTGGTCACCCAGCACTTGTTAGATCACCTCAAGAACAAAAAACGATAAAGCCGAGAAACCGCGGTAGGAGTAGTTCCATGAGTCAGGTTTATCCCGTGAATGCGTTCATGCACGAACGAGCGTTCATCAACAACGACCAATACCTGGCCATGTACCAGCGTTCTGTTGAGGACCCGGATGCCTTCTGGGCTGAACAGGCTGATAAATTCCTGACCTGGGACGCACATTGGAGTGAAGTGTCCAACGCCAATCTCGACACTGGCCATGTGAGCTGGTTTACCGGCGGCAAGCTCAACGTCAGCGTGAACTGTATCGATCGACACCTGCCTGAGCGGGCAGACCAGACCGCAATCATCTGGGAAGGGGATGACCCTGGTGAGTCCACACATATCACCTATCAGGCTCTGTCTGATGCCGTGGGGCAACTGGCCAATGGTTTGCGTGCCAGAGGTGTAGGCAAAGGTGATCGTGTGTGTATCTACATGCCAATGATCCCTGAGGCTGCTTACGCCATGCTGGCCTGTGCAAGAATCGGCGCCATCCACAGCGTTGTGTTTGGTGGCTTTTCACCCACCTCTCTGAAAGATCGCATTCTTGATTCGGATTGCAGAACACTGATTACCGCCGATGAAGGCGTCCGCGGCGGCAAAAGCGTGCCTTTAAAAGCCAATGCGGAAATTGCACTGGCGGATTGTCCAAACGTGCACACGGTTGTAACTGTGCAGCGCACCGGTGCAGACGTGCAATGGCAGAATGGGCGAGATGTCTGGTATCACGATTTGATCGAAAACCAGTCAACCGCCGCTGAACCCGAGAGCATGGATGCGGAAGACCCATTATTTATATTGTATACCTCGGGCTCCACCGGCAAACCGAAAGGCGTTCAGCATTCGAGCGGTGGCTATCTATTACACAGCGCCATCACGCACAAATATGTTTTTGATTACCACGACGGTGATATTTACTGGTGCACAGCAGACGTCGGCTGGATCACTGGCCACTCCTACATCGTGTACGGTCCATTGGCCAATGGTGCAACAACACTCATGTTTGAAGGCATCCCCACCTATCCCGATGCGTCGCGTTTCTGGCAGGTGATCGACAAACATAAGGTCAATACTTTTTATACCGCCCCAACCGCGCTGCGCCAACTGATGAGCCAGGGTGATCAATACGTGACCGCCACCAAACGCACGTCGCTGAACCTGCTTGGATCCGTGGGGGAACCTATTAATCCGGAAGCCTGGGAATGGTATCACCGGGTCGTGGGCGACCATCGCTGCCCGATAGTCGACACCTGGTGGCAAACAGAAACCGGCGGCATCATGATTACGCCGCTGCCTGGTGCGACAGTGTTAAAACCTGGCTCGGCTACCCGTCCATTTTTTGGCGTAAAGCCCGCGCTGATGGATGCAGAGGGCAATCTGATCGAAGAAATAGAGGCTTCAGGCAACCTGGTCATCACCGGCAGTTGGCCGGGTCAGATACGCACCGTATACGGCGATCATCAGCGGGTCATCGACACCTACTACTCTACTTACAAAGGCTACTATTTCACAGGAGATGGCGCGCGCCGGGACGCTGACGGCTACTACTGGATCACCGGGCGGGTTGACGATGTTCTGAATGTTTCCGGCCACCGTATCGGTACCGCAGAAGTCGAAAGTGCGCTGGTCCTGCACCCGTCTGTTGCCGAAGCCGCGGTTGTCGGTTACCCCCACGATGTCAAAGGCGAAGGCATTTACGCTTATGTCACGCTAATGGTAGGTGACAACCGTAATCCTGAAGAACTGAAAGCTGAGCTTATCGCCTCGGTGCGCCAGGAAATAGGTCCCATCGCCAAACCGGACATAATTCAGTGGGCACCGGGATTACCTAAAACCCGGTCGGGCAAAATCATGCGTCGGATCCTGCGTAAAATTGCCGCTAATGAACTTGAAAATCTGGGCGATACGTCAACCCTGGCAGATCCAGGCGTTGTTGATCATCTGATTGAGAATCGCCACAACCAATAGGTTCAGGCACGCACAAAAAACCCCGCATCAGCGGGGTTTTTTTTAAGATCAGCTCAGATCAGAGATCAGCCTTCAGCCGCTTCTGCATCTGCAGATCCTTCATCCTGATACTTCGACAGTTCTTTGATGGACAGTTTGATACGACCGCGCTGGTCAACATCAAGTACAACCACGTCAACTTCTTCACCTTCTTTTAAGTAGTCGGTGACATTCTCAACGCGCTCATCTGCAATCTGTGAGATGTGCAGCAAACCATCTTTGCCAGGCAGAATATTCACGAAGGCACCGAAGTCGACAATACGCTCCACCTTACCGTGATAGATTCGACCAACTTCAGCTTCAGCAACAATTTCCTGCACGCGGGCAACCGCTGCATTTTTAGCTTCAGCCGTATCAGCGTAGATACGCACCGTGCCGTCGTCATCAATGTCTACTTCAGCACCGGTTTCTTCCACGATACCGCGAATAGTAGCGCCGCCTTTACCAATCACGTCACGGATCTTGTCCGGATGGACTTTAACTGTAGTCATAGCAGGTGCGTTATCGGACAGCTCTGCACGAGGCTCACTGATCACCTTGTTCATTTCGCCAAGAATGTGCAGACGGGCTTCATGTGCCTGTTGCAGCGCAGCTTCCATAATCTCTTCGGTAATACCGTCGATCTTGATGTCCATCTGCAGCGCAGTGACACCCTTCTGAGAACCTGCAACTTTAAAGTCCATGTCACCCAGGTGGTCTTCGTCACCCAGGATATCGGTGAGCACAGCATATTTATTGCCTTCCTTCACCAGACCCATGGCGACACCAGCAACCGGCATTTTCACCGGCACACCCGCATCCATCAACGCAAGAGAGGTACCACAGACACTGGCCATAGAGCTTGAACCGTTAGATTCAGTAATCTCTGACACAACGCGGATGGTATACGGAAATCCTTCTGTGTCTGGCAGTGAAGAAGCTACGCCGCGTCGAGCCAGACGGCCGTGACCAATTTCCCGACGTTTCGGGCCACTCATGAAGCCTGCTTCGCCCACGCTGTAGGGCGGGAAGTTGTAGTGCAACATGAACTGATCTTTGAATGTGCCTTCAAGCGCATCAACAATCGCAGCATCACGCAGGGTACCTAACGTTGCCACTACGATAGCCTGGGTTTCACCCCGGGTGAACAGAGCCGAACCGTGCGCTTTAGGTAAAACACCTACCTCGACAGAAATAGGTCGTACGGTGCGCAGATCGCGACCGTCAATACGTGGCTCACCGTTGATGACGCGCTGACGCACAAGGTTCTTTTCAACTTTGTAGAACATCTCCGCAATATCGTCTGCATCAAGGTCAGAACCTTCGCCTGCAAGTTGCTCAACAACTTTGCTACGCAGTTCTTTAACCGCGACCTGGCGGTCCATCTTATCAACAATACGATAGGCTTCACCCAGACCTGCTTTGGCAACATCGCTTACCTTGGTCAGCAAGTCTTCGTTTGAAGGTTCAGGCTGCCAATCCCATTTAGGTTTGCCCGCTTCAGCAACCAGTTCGTTGACCGCAGAAATAATCACCTGCATTTCCTGATGACCAAACAGTACGGCGCCCAACATTTCATCTTCACTGAGCTCTTGCGCTTCAGACTCAACCATCAATACTGCTGATTCTGTGCCAGCAACCGTCATGGTTAACATGGATTCTTTTAACGCTTCATAACCGGGATTCAACACATAGTTGCCATCCACGTAACCAACGCGTGCTGCACCAATAGGACCAGCAAACGGAATGCCAGAAATACCCAGCGCGGCAGACGTGCCGATCATGGCGGCTATATCCGGATCCTGATCCTTGTCCGTAGACATAACCGTACAGACAACCTGTACTTCGTTCATAAAGCCCTTCGGAAACAATGGCCGAATAGGACGGTCGATCAATCGACAGGTCAGGGTTTCTTTTTCGCTAGGACGTCCTTCACGACGGAAGAAACCGCCGGGAATTTTGCCGGCAGCGTAGGTTTTTTCCTGATAGTTAACCGTCAGCGGGAAAAAGTCCTGACCAGGGCGTGCGCTTTTAGCGCCAACAACAGTTGTTAACACAACTGTATCGCCGATGGTCACAACTACCGAGCCGGTAGCTTGCTTGGCAACCTTGCCCGTTTCAATAGAAACAGTCTGGTCACCAAACTGGAAAGTTTTGGTAATCGGGTTCAAATTATTACTCCTTTAAGTATGAGCGTGCGGCGTATTGTTAACGACGTAATCCAAGTCGTTTGATCAGTTCTGCATAACGCGCAGCATCTTTACTTTTTAAATAGTCCAACAGTTTGCGACGCTGATTCACCATACGAATCAGTCCACGTCGCGAGTGGTGATCTTTGTGATGATCACGGAAGTGGTCTTGTAATCCATTAATGTTATGAGTCAGCAAAGCAACCTGTACTTCCGGCGACCCTGTGTCACCCTCTTCGAGTTGATATTCTTTGATGATCTCTGCTTTATTCGTGGCTTCTAACGCCATGGTTATCTCCTTTGTTATGCACATTTGCCATTTAGCAAACTGATTTCTGCAGATACAACCCCGCATACATGGAGTTGCTCTGGGTTAAGTTCTGGCCAGTACTTATTGAGTGGCCACCAATCGTCTTGGCGCAACGCGCCCGTCATCCAGCACTTCACCAACGCCAAGGAACAGATTGTCCTTGCCGCTGCTGCTTTCGCTTAGCCTGACCCAACCACTTGTTGGAGCATGAGGAATTTGTACCGGCTGCCCCTGGCGCACATAAAACGCCGTTGCATCGGTTAACACTACCTCTGGCCACTGACCCACCGTGCTGGCGATGGGCCGTAGAAACTTGTCTAAAGAAACGTCTTCATCACGAAGTTTACCTAGCTCGTCGATTTCAACCATGTCCTGTTCAGTGTAAGGACCCGCTGCTCGGCGATGTAATGCCGTAACATGAGCGCCAACACCTAACTGTGCGCCCAGCTCTTCAGCGATGGTACGGATGTAAGTACCTTTGCTGCAGTGAATCTCAAGCTCAACTTCGACGACGCCATCCGCGTTAGAAAACCCGGCCAGTTCATTGCTGAACACTGATATACATCGGGCTTCGCGCTCAACTTCTATGCCCTGGCGTGCCAGCTTGTACAACGGCTGACCATTATGTTTCAGCGCAGAGTACATGGAGGGTACCTGCTGAATTTCGCCGCGGAAGGTTGGCAACGCGGCTTCCACATCAACCGCGCTGATGTGATCCGCCGGCCTGGTCTCAAGCACGTCACCATCTGCATCGCCGGTATCGGTCGCCACGCCTAGCTTAATCCGAGTCCAGTACTTTTTATCTGAAGCGAGAAGATACTGCGAAAATTTTGTCGCTTCGCCGAAGCACATGGGCAAAACGCCGGTAGCCAAAGGGTCCAGACTGCCCGTGTGTCCCACTTTCTGAGCGCCATACAAGCGCTTCACCTGCTGCACGGCATCACTGGATGAGATGCCCTGGGGTTTATTAACCACCAGCACACCATTAACCGGGCGGCCTTTACGACGTCTAGCCATCAGGCGCATCCTCATCACTATCGTTAGCCGGCACGGACGCCATCGCGGTACCGATGAGCTTCTCAATGCGCGGGCCTTCTGCGACCAGAAGATCGTAATGGAAACGAGGTTTAGGGGTTGTTCGCATCTTGTGACGTTTAGCCAGCGTAGAGCGGAAAAAACCCGCCGCGCCATTTAACACTTTTATCAACGCTTCCTGTTCCGCAGGTTCGTTTACCTGCAGTGAAGAAACATAGATCTCAGCATAGGACAGGTCTTTGCTGACTTTCACGTCGTTCACGCTGACAAAGGAGCCAACGCGAGGGTCACGCATCTCGAAGGCAATGATGCGCGCAACTTCGTCGCGTATAAAGTCGGCTACTTTTAAGTCTCGAGACACAGCTAACATCTATGATTGAGGCTAAAGATGCCGTGCCACTTCTTTGGCATCGAAGACTTCTATCTGATCACCCGGACGTACGTCATTGTAGTTGCGCACACCGATACCACATTCTGTACCGGCTCGAACATCATTCACATCGTCTTTAAAACGACGCAGAGACTCCAGCTCTCCTTCGTAAATCACGACATTGTCGCGCAATACACGAATCGGCTTGTTCCGATGAACTGAGCCTTCAGTGACCATACAGCCGGCGATGGCGCCGTAACGAGGTGAACGGAACACATCCCGCACCTCGGCAATACCAACAATTTCTTCACGAATTTCTGGCGATAACATGCCGGACAGAGCCGCGCGAACGTCGTCGATCAATTCGTAGATCACGCTGTAATAACGCAGATCTATACCTTCTTTTTCGAGCAGAGTTTTTGCTGCTTTGTCAGCCCGGACGTTAAAACCAAACACCGCGGCACCATAGGTGACCGCCATTGTGGCATCTGATTCGGATATACCACCAACACCGGAGCCCAGAACCTGCACGCCGACCTCATCGTTACCCAAATCTGCGAGGGCCTGGATAATGGCTTCAAGACTGCCGCGCACATCACCTTTGATCACCAGTTTGAGAATGCGTTTCTCGCCTTCCACCATGTTGGCAAACATGTTGTCCAACTTCGCCGCCTGCTGAGTAGCCTGACGGCGCTCCTGACTCTTATCTGCACGGAACTCGGCCAACTCACGAGCCGATCGCTCATCAGTGGCAACCGAGAAGTCGTCACCCGCGGCAGGCGTGCCATTTAAACCCAGCACTTCCACTGGTTGAGACGGGCCGACAGATTTAGTCGGCTGACCGGTATCGTCCAGCATTGCGCGCACGCGTCCAAAACACTCACCGGCAATAATTACATCACCCTGCTTCAGACTACCGTTCTGTACCAGAACTGTAGCAACCGGTCCGCGCCCTCTATCCAGGCGGGATTCGATAACCACGCCCTGACCGGGCGCCTCGGCAATAGCGCCTAATTCCATAATTTCTGATTGCAGCACAATCGCTTCAAGCAGCCTGTCCACCCCTTCACCGGTAATTGCGGACACTTTCACAAATTGAGTGTCGCCACCCCACTCTTCCGGTACCACGTCTTTAGCTGCAAGTTCGTTTGTGACACGGTCAGGATCAGCTGATTCAAGATCACATTTATTTATGGCAACAATAATTGGCACTTCAGCAGCTTTTGCGTGCTGAATCGCCTCTTCTGTCTGAGGCATCACACCATCGTCAGCGGCAACCACCAGAATCACGATATCGGTGACTTTGGCACCGCGTGCACGCATCGAGGTAAACGCGGCGTGGCCGGGTGTATCAATAAAGGTAACTTGGCCGCCTTTGGTTTCAACACTGTAGGCACCAATATGCTGAGTGATGCCACCGGCTTCACCGCTGGTCACACGCGTGTGACGAATGTAATCCAATAATGATGTTTTGCCATGGTCGACGTGACCCATCACGGTGACTACCGGTGCCCGTGGCTCCGTATCACCTTCAATTTTGAGTGAAGCTTCCAGCTTCTCTTCCAACACATCGTCGCTGACTACTTTGACTTTGTGACCCATCTCTTCAACCACGAGGGTTGCAGTATCCTGATCAAGCGTCTGATTAATGGTCGCCATGACCCCCATGCCCATCAGTGTCTTGATAACTTCTGACGCTTTGATCGCCATGCGCGACGCCAGATCAGCAACGGAATTAACTTCACCAACCTCTACTTCACGAGAGATAAACTCTGTTGGCTTGAACTCACCACCCTGGGTTTCAACGTGCAGGGCGCTCTGGCGATGAGAAGGTCTGCGTTTGGTACGGCGCTCACTCTTAAGCGACAGCTCGCGGCGGCCTTTACCACCTCCGCTGCGTGAACCTGGCGCATCGCGTCGTTCTTTTTCTTTAGCTTTACCGCGCTTTCCACCTTTCTGCTCAGCCTGCTCTTTGGCTTGCAATTCAGCAGCGGCGGCGGCGGGATCTGCGGGTGCTTCCGGCTTCGCCGCCGACTTTTCTGTTGCCTCTTTGGCAAGCCGTTCCTGTTCTGCCTGGCGAGCCGCTTCTTCAGCTTTAAGGCGCTCTTCTTCGGCTTTTCGTTCAGCTTCCGCTTTACGCTCGACCTCAGCGTTACGCGCGTCCTCATTGGCTTTAGCACGTGCCGCTTCTTCCTCCCGGATACGCGCAGCTTCCGCTTCAGCCTGGGAAGAATCAGCCACTGCTGGCGGCGTGTCTGCGTCTGGCTGCGCTGCAGCTTCGCCGCCTTTCACATAAGTGCGCTTACGACGCACCTCAACGGTTACATTTCGTCCCGCACGACCCTGCCCAGCCTTTAAGGTACTGCTGCTTTTGCGCTTTAAAGTAATCTTACGCTCACCGCTATCAGACGCGCCGTGGCTCTTTTGCAGGTAGGCCAACAGTGTTTTTTTCTGCTCTTCAGTCACAAGCTCATCTTCAGTCTTGTGCGGCAAACCGGCCTCTTGCATCTGGCGCAGCAAGCGGTCCACCGGTGTTCCCACGGTGTCTGCGAGTTGTTTAACTGTCACGTCTGCCATCAATCACTCCTAACCACCTGCATAACGTCTACCTTGACGCCTGCGGGCAGTAAATCTCTGTCTAAGCTTCTTCCGCTGCGTCCGCATCTTCTGCAAACCACGGTTCACGTGCTTTCAAAATCAGCACCGAAGCTTCTGCTTCGCTCAATTCTGGTTCTATTTCCAACAATTCGTCTATCGCCAGCTCTGCCAGGTCTTCCATGGTCACAACATCGTTGCCCGCCAGCTTGAACGCCAACGGCCGGGTCATGCCTTCCATTTCCAGCAGATCATCAGCAGGCGTTGCATCACCGAGCGCTTCTTCGCTGGCAATAGCTTTAGTCAGCAACGCATCTTTTGCACGATTGCGAAGTTCCTGCACAATTTCTTCATCAAAGCCTTCGATCGCCATCATTTCTTCGATGGGTACATAAGCCACTTCTTCCAACGTGGTGAAACCTTCTTCAACCAGCACGCCGGCCACGTCCTCGTCGACTTCTAACGATTCCATGAAGTCTTTGATGAACTTGACCGACTCTTCTTCCTGCTTCTGCGAGGCTTCTGCTTCGGTCATGATGTTTAATGACCAACCACACAAATCGCTGGCCAGGCGAACATTCTGGCCGCCGCGACCGATAGCCTGAGCCAGGTTTTCTTCGGTGACCGCAATATCCATTGAATGGGTATCTTCATCTAGCACGATCGAAGCCACTTCAGCGGGCGCCATCGCGTTGATGGTTAACTGAGCAGGGTTATCGTCCCAAGGCACGATATCAATACGCTCCCCGGCTAATTCGCCAGACACTGCCTGGACCCGAGAACCGCGCATGCCGACACAAGCACCAACGGGGTCAATGCGACCATCGTTGGTTTTAACTGCAATCTTGGCGCGTGAGCCAGGATCACGTGCTGCACCGCGTATTTCAATAACGTCTTCGGCGATTTCAGGCACTTCCACCTTAAACAGCTCGATCAGCATCTGTGGCGACGTACGCGACAGAATCAGCTGTGGTCCTCGATTTTCAGGACGAATCTCAGTTAACAGTGCGCGCAGTCGATCACCCACGCGAAAAGTCTCACGGGGAATCAGGTGCTCACGGGTAAGGATCCCTTCAGCATTATTACCCAGGTCAACAATGACACTGTCACGACCGAGTTTCTTGACCGTAGCACTGATCAACTCGTTCATGCGCGGCAGGTAGGCTTCAACAACCTGTGCTCGCTCGGCTTCGCGAACCTTCTGCACGATGACCTGTTTAGCCGTTTGCGCTGCAATCCGCCCAAATTCTACAGATTCAACCTGCTCTTCAATAACATCACCAAGCTTGGCCTCAGGATCCATTTCTACCGCAGCCTCTAACGAAAACTGTGCAGCCGGGTTCGGCTCTTCCTCGTCTTCGTAATTGACAATCGTCCAGGTACGAAACGTATCGTATTCGCCTGTTTCACGGTCAATGGCCACACGGAATTCCTGTTGCTCGCCATAACGCTTTTTCGTCGCCATAGCCAACGCAGACTCAATCGCCTCAAAGATCACTTCTCTGGGCACACCTTTTTCAAGGGACACAGATTCAACGACTAACAGTATTTCTTTTGACATTCGTTTGCCCTAATTACCTCAGTCAAAGACCGGCACAACTCGCGCCTTCTGGATGTTTTCCAGCGGCAGCAAAAATTCTTCATCTTCAATCTGCACAATCGCCATGCTGTCCTGCACACCATTGAGCACACCTATAAATTTCTTTCGACCTTCAAATGGAAAGTTCAGCCGAATATCTACCTGCTCACCTGCGCTGTCTGCAAACTGCTCTTCTTTAAACAGCAGGCGATCCATTCCAGGCGATGACACTTCAAGCGTATAGGCGCTTGAAATGACCTCTTCTACGTCAAGGATGTCACTAACATGCCGACTCACGGCCGCACAATGATCTACATCGATCCCTTCATCGCGGTCTATATAGAGGCGCAATTTAGTGTGTTTTCCCTGATTCAAGAATTCCACACCCCAAATGGTGCAGCCCAACGATTCAACCGTTGGCGCAAGCAATTCTTCGACCTGCAATTCCTTTCTATTCAATGAGTTACAACCTCATATGACCACTTCATTAGCGGTCGCTACGTTTCCTGCTGGCACAAAAAATGGGCCTGACGCCCATCTGCTTTGACTTACGCTTTGAACACGATTCGTCTACGTTGAACTACGCAATTGCAAAAACAAAGTTGAACTGCGTGGTTGCGCTTTAACCCCTGCGGCTGTCCGCCTGGGCTTGGGCTACGTACCAGGTACCAAGCCTTGGCTAGGTACCAAAAAGCCCCTATACAGGGGCTTTTCTTCCTTTGGTAGCGGGGGCAGGATTTGAACCCACGACCTTCGGGTTATGAGCCCGACGAGCTACCAGACTGCTCCACCCCGCATCAGCAAGGTCGCGAATTATAGGGATGCTTGGCCAAGGCTGCAAGGGGCGATTTGCTTGAGAATCTTCAGGGACTGAGCGACGTTATGCGGCAAAGCCGCAAAACTCGACAGGTCTCTCGATCAAGATCGAGAGACCAATGGTGCCGAAGGCGAGACTCGAACTCGCACGAGCATAAGCTCACTACCCCCTCAAGGTAGCGTGTCTACCAATTTCACCACTTCGGCGCGGTTCGGTTTACCCGACAGTAAACCGTTACAGTTGAGGAATGTCTCCGTCAGGGTCTTCTTCTACCTCTAGCGTAGGGACATCACCATCAATGGCGGGCAAATCTACACTTTCTTGCGGTTGCGTCAACTGCCCTTGTGAACTCTGCGTCGGCACCGTTGGGATACCCAGGGTATCCACAGCTTCAGAGCGTTGCTTGGCGAGATAAGCCAAACCAAACGCAATGACAAAAAAGGCAATCGCAAGCCATGCGGTGGCTCGGGTTAAAAATGAAGCCCCGCCTGCGCCGCCAAACACGGTACCGGATGAGCCGCTACCAAAAGCTGCCCCTACATCGGCGCCTTTACCTTGCTGAATCAAAACCAGCACGGTAAGTGCGATGGCATCAACCACGAGGAGGGATAACAGCACTGTTTCTATGGTCGACATGTCTTTCTTACAACCTTTATCACTATTCCAGTTAAATCTTCAGTTCGCTTCTGCTCTGCTAACGCGCCTGGGCTGCGGCATCAATGATGGCTGTGAAATCAGCCGCGTTCAGCGATGCGCCGCCCACCAACCCGCCATCAATGTCTTGCTGAGCAAATATATCTGCAGCGTTCTCCGGCTTCACGCTGCCACCATAAACAATTCGAATCTGTGCCGCCATTTGAGCATTTACTTCAGTCAGTAGCTGCCGCACAAATTCATGCATTTCCTGCGCTTGCTCCGGGCTTGCGGTGACCCCGGTGCCTATCGCCCAAACCGGCTCGTAACCGATAGCAATTTTACCCAGCTGCGCATGATCAATACGATCAAGCACGGCTTCAAGTTGGCGCTGTACCACTATCTTTTCGTGGCCCGCATCACGCTCGGCAGCAGTTTCACCGACGCATACAATAGGATTCAATCCACCCCGCAAAGCCGCCGCGGTTTTAGTACCCACCAGGTCGTCGCCTTCATTTTGCGCCAGGCGTCGCTCTGAATGGCCAACAATAGTCCATGAGCCGCCAACATCAGCAACCATCTCTGCTGCAATTTCACCGGTATGCGGGCCGCTGGCCGCTGTACCAATGTCCTGCACACCGCAGGCCAGCCCTTGTGGCGCAACCGCGACCGCAGCGCCCAGGTACAGTGCCGGCGGAAACCATACCGCATCAACCCGATCATCCATCTGCAAGGCATCAGCAAAAGCCTGAAGCTGCGCTGCAGCACCAAACATTTTCCAATTTGCAGCCACCAATGCTCTGCGCATATTTGGTCACCGGTAATTCGAGGGCGCGCAATGTTATACGCTCAGGACATCAATTGCCAAGATTGCAAAGTGAGAGTTTGCGGGATAGGTGTCACTGAGGAGCACGATCCAGCGGTTGTGGGAGCAGGATCGCGACCAGCAACAACACAACCAGCCCGAAAATGCAGCCAACTGCTGCTGCATCGAAGCTGCCGAAAGTATCGTTCGCCAGGCTGAAGGCGACTGGGCCAATCGCGCTGGCAAAAACCGTGATTGCAGTATTCAAACCGCTGATTTCGCCTAGATGCAGGGCGCCAAACTGGCGAATAAAAGCAAGATTAGACAAAACACCCCATAACCCGCCACCTGCACCGAAACCCAGTACCAGCAACCAATAACCCTCTTCGGTGTGTAATTGCGTAATTCCATACGCACCGACCAGAAACATCAGCAGCATGACAATTAGCAGAGGCTTCAAGCGGCAGTAATCCGCCAGTGCGCTGGCAACAAGATTTACACTCAATGAAACCACCGCCTGGGGCAGAAAATAGGCAAACGCTTCGACGCGGTCGCGCCCCGCCTCCTCAAAAATAGCGACAATGTGGAAAGTCACTGCGGTACCAAACAGAGCATGCATAGACAGCGCAGCCGAGTAGATCCAGAAAACCGGATCGCGTTTGGCGTCACTGGCGGTGCGCTCAGGCAATGATTTTGAATGTTGGTCCGAGTGGTTGTCGGAGCGGGCGTCTCCATCCGGGGTCAAACCCGCCACGTGAGGGTGGTCTCGGACCGTGAACAGCGCGATGGTGGTGAACCCGACACCAACGACCAGTGCCATGACCCACAACGCGCCGCGCCAACCAAAGGCGTCAATCATCCAGGCGAGAATCAAAGGAGAAATAGAAAAGCCTAACGATACAAAAACGCCGCGCAGACCAGAAACAAGTCCGCGACGCTTTTCAAACCAAACCAGCAACACATTGCGGCTGGCAGAGGTCAATACACCCTGCCCACTGAACCGCACACCAAAATAACCCAACAGAATGAGCGGGAAAGTTATCCAGGCTAAAGGCAGTGCAAATACACCCACTAACAGTCCGGCAAGCCAATCAATGCCACTGATCAATACCAGCATGATGCCGAGGAACGCCGGCGCTGCCACGAGCATCACCCGCGCACCCCACTGGTCATACCAGCGACCGGCGCGCGGCAGAGTAAAAGCGCTGGCGACGGTACCAAACAGGTAGGCTGTGGAAAGTTCGGTGCGCGTCAGGCCAAATTCCGCGATAAAGGTATCCGCAAAAACCGCCATACCCATAGTCTGGCCCGGCACGCTGCAGAGGAACCCAAGGGTTGATACCGCAGCAATGACCCAGCCATAGAAAAAGGGTGTTCGTGCTGCTGGAAACGGCCAGTCTGTTTGCAGTCGAGTGACCGAATTATCCCTGGTTTTGAGCAATGGCGGCTAATTCGTCAGCAATTTCCTGCACTTCCGGCGCATCCTCACCTTCAACCATGACCCGCAGCAAAGGTTCGGTTCCCGAGGCACGCACGAGAATCCTGCCACGATCGGCAAGGCCAGCTTCTTTCACAGAGATTGCACTGAGCAAGGCAGGGCTACGTGCAACTGCTGCAGGATCAGGCACTTTGACGTTAACCATGATCTGCGGCAGTTTGACCACACCACTGACAAGCTCAGCCACGCTTCTGGAGGATTCCACCACCGGCAGGAGAGCCTGCAGAGCAGCAACAATGGCATCTCCGGTACTGGCAAGATCCAGACACAGGACATGGCCCGAAGTTTCCCCCCCCAGCAACCAGCCTTTATTCAGCAGCATTTCGGTCACATAGCGGTCACCCACTTTAGCTCTGCAGAATTCAATACCCTGAGCTTCCAACGCCTGTTGCAGCCCGAGATTGCTCATTACCGTACCGACCACACCGCCGCCTAAAGTACCGAGAACTTTGCGGTGCGAGGCGATCATATAAATCAGTTCATCCCCGTCCAGCAACCGACCATCTGAATCAACCATTAAGACGCGATCGCCGTCGCCATCAAATGCGATACCCACATCAGCACGAAGCTCTAGAACTTTTTCGCGCAACATTTCAGGATGGGTGGAACCGCAGCCATCGTTTATGTTGACGCCATCCGGCGTCGCGCCAATCAGCTCTACTTCGGCACCCAGTTCTTCAAACACCCGAGGCGCAACGTGGTAAGTGGCGCCATGGGCACAGTCGAGCACAATACGCATGCCGCGCAGACTGAACCCTCTGGGCACGGTTGCTTTGCAGAATTCGATGTAGCGCCCGGCAGCATCACTGATGCGGGAAGCGCGACCTAACTGATCAGAGTCGACACAGGCCATCTCTTCACCCAACTGGGCTTCGATCTCATGCTCAACATCATCTGCCAGCTTGTTACCAAGGTGGTCAAAGAATTTGATGCCGTTGTCGTAATAGGGATTGTGCGAAGCACTGATCACAACGCCCGCATCCGCGCGCAGAGTTCGAGTCAGATAAGCAATTGCGGGGGTCGGCATAGGACCAATCAAACTGACGTTTGCGCCGGCAGAAACCAGGCCGGATTCCAGCACAGACTCAAGCATATAGCCGGAGATTCTGGTGTCTTTACCAATGATCACATGGGCAGGACCTCGTTTCGCAAACACGCGCCCAACGGCCCAGCCCAGGCGCAGGCAGAAACCCGGGGTTATAGGATACTGGCCGACACGACCGCGAATACCATCGGTGCCAAAATATTTTCTGCTCATAGGTCTCTTCCCTCTATTTCAACAACAGCCCTGGGCTATGCAGAGCCTGCAGCACTTTCAACGCATCTGACGTGGCCGCAACGTCATGCACGCGAACCAGATCTGCGCCTCGCTGCACAGCAAGCAGTGCCGCCGCAACGCTGGCCGCCATACGGTCTTCAACAGTTTTGCCCGTGATCGTGCCAAGCATGCTTTTGCGCGATAACCCTACCAACAGTGGCACACCGCTGACTTTCAGTTGAGCCAGCCCATCCAGTAACTGTAAGTTATGCGCTAAGGTTTTGCCGAAACCGAATCCCGGATCGAGCATCAACCTGCCGCCATCAATACCGGCCTGCAGACAAGCAAGGTAACGCTGCTTCAGATACCCTCCAACCTCCGCAATCACGTCACCATAGCGAGGCGACAGCTGCATATTCTCGGGCAAGCCCTGCATGTGCATCATCGCATAACCCACCTGACTCGCGGCGACGGTGGACAACATATCAGGATCGCCACCTGCGCTGACATCATTGATCATGTGCGCGCCCGCCGCGATCGCTGCTGCGGCCACCGGCGCATGGCGCGTATCGACAGACACAATGGTATCTAGCTGTGCCAGCACCTCAACAACAGGGATAACGCGATCCATCTCTTGTGACACCCCTACCGGCTGTGCGCCCGGGCGGGTTGATTCGCCACCAATATCCAGGACATTGGCCCCTTCCTCAATCATCTGCTGGGCCACTGCCTGAACACCAGACAGATCAACACCATGATCTTGAAACAGCTTGCCGCCGTCAGAAAAGGAATCAGGAGTAATATTGAGCACCCCCATGATCCGGGGGTGCTCGAAGGTCAGTGTTTTACCACCGCAAAGCAACGTACAAACGACGTGTCTGGTCGGGTTTAACTTTCTTCCGCAGGGCCACCGATAGGTGACTCGGGCGAAGAGTCAGAACCCGAAGAAGGTGGCTTTGGCTCATAGTCGGTCGGCGCACGAGGTTTGGCACCGGCCATAATGTCATCGATCTGCTCAACGCCGATGGTTTCAAACTCCATCAGGGCATCTGCCATACTGTGCAGCTTGTCGATGTTTTCCTCCAGCATATCGTGCGCGGTGGCATAACACGTGTCGATTATCGAGCGCACTTCTTCATCAATGGCTTTGGCGGTGTCGTCAGACAGCGCTTTCGGCTTGACGCCCGCTGACATACCGAGGAAAACTTCATTGTCGTCTTCGTCGTACTTCAGCGGTCCGAGTCGCTCAGACAGACCCCATTTGGTGACCATACTGCGCGCCAGCGATGTCGCTCGCTCAATATCATTCGACGCACCTGTTGTGACGTACTCCGGACCCAGAATCATTTCTTCCGCTATGCGGCCGCCAAACAAGCTGCAGATCTGCGAGCGAATACCCTGACGGGTAAGGCTGTAACGGTCTTCTTCCGGCAGGAACATGGTCACACCCAAGGCTCGGCCACGCGGAATAATAGAGACTTTATACACCGGGTCATGATCGGGCATCAGGCGGCCAATGATCGCGTGCCCAGCTTCATGATAGGCCGTATTACGCTTCTCTTTTTCCGACATCACCATGGATTTACGCTCGGCGCCCATCATGATTTTATCTTTGGCTTTGTCGAACTCTTCCATCGAAACCAGGCGCTTACCGCCACGCGCGGCAAACAACGCCGCCTCGTTCACGAGGTTGGCCAGGTCAGCACCGGAAAAACCGGGGGTACCGCGAGCGATAATGCCGGGTTCAACATCATCAGCCAGCGGCACTTTGCGCATGTGTACTTTCACAATCTGTTCGCGACCGCGGATGTCTGGCAAACCAACCACTACCTGGCGGTCAAAGCGGCCGGGACGTAACAACGCTGGATCGAGCACATCAGGACGGTTGGTCGCAGCAATCACAATAATGCCGTCATTGGCTTCGAAGCCATCCATTTCCACCAGCAACTGGTTCAAAGTCTGTTCGCGCTCATCATGCCCGCCACCAAGGCCAGCACCACGATGGCGACCGACAGCATCAATCTCATCGATGAAAATAATACAGGGCGACTGTTTCTTGGCCTGTTCAAACATGTCTCGTACGCGGGATGCACCCACGCCGACAAACATTTCGACAAAGTCTGAACCGGAAATTGAGAAGAACGGTACTTTGGCTTCACCTGCAATGGCTTTTGCCAGCAGGGTTTTACCGGTACCCGGTTGTCCCACCATCAGCACGCCGCGAGGAATGTGGCCACCCAGGCGCTGAAACTTGCCGGGATCACGCAGGAATTCAACCAGTTCCTGAACTTCTTCTTTGGCTTCATCAACGCCGGCCACATCTGCAAATGTGGTTTTAATCTGGTCTTCGGAAAGTAACTTGGCTTTACTGCGCCCAAATGCCATAGGACCACCGCGGCCACTGCCGCCACCCTGCATCTGTCGCATAAACAGCATGAATACCGCAATGATGATCAATATCGGGAAACTGGCGATCAGGAGCTGACTCCAGAAACTCTGTTTTTCAGGTTCTAAAACCGTGGTGACGACATTGTTATCAATCAGTTCACTGATCAACTTATCGTCGTTCTGTGGCCAGACCACAACCATACGGTTGCCGCTGCCATCGAGTGCGGTGATCTTGTCACCTTGAATCTGCGCTTCGCGAATCTGACCGGCATTCACCGCTTTCACAAACTCTGAATACGCCACCGGTTCCTGCTGAGGTTCAACATTGAAATTGTTGAAAACTGTCAACAGCACTGCCGCAATGATGAGCCACAGTAATAAATTTTTTCCCATATCTGACAAGGGGTTATCCTCGATGTTGCTTTTCGACAACCGTAGTTAAATTTAGACCGCCAAGATTACACCAAACTCTCGTGATCGTCCTGTGAACCCAGAAAACCTTGTGCGACAACAAACACTTCGCGAGATTCAGGTCTTGAGGCTTTGGGTTTGGTCACAGTTACCTTGGCAAACTGCCGCCTGAGGTCTTTCACCCATTGGTCCAACCCTTCGCCCTGAAAGGCTTTGATGGCCATAGCGCCGCGGGGTTTGAGCCACCGATGACAGGCCAGCAAGGCTGTATCTGCAAGGTCCATTGCCCGCGCCTGATCCACAGCTCTTACTCCAGATATATTGGGGGCCATATCCGATAAAACAAGGTCTAACGTGTCGCCCTGCAAAGCCTGCTCTATCGCCTCATCCACCTCAGTTTCTCCCGCTCGGCCTTCAATGACCACAGTATCCATACCGGCGGTAATCGGCAGAGGGTCTACAGCAATGAGCAGACCTTTGCTTAGCCGATCCTGCAGATATTGTGTCCAGCCGCCAGGCGCTGCGCCCAGTTCGAGGACCCTGGCTTGAGGTTTGATCAGTTTATAACGCTGATCGAGCTGCAGCAGCTTAAAATGTGCGCGGGAGACCTGACCTTGATCCTGGGCGGCACGCACAAAATAGTCTTTATTCTGTCTCTGCAGCCAGCGCGAACTTGATTTGGTGCGTTTTGCCATGATCCGCGTAGAATACCGCAAAGCCTCTTTTAGCCGTGAAAAATGTTAAGCCGTGAAAAAAAATCTCTTCGCCAGATTGCCCATCATCTGGACAGCGTCATTCTGGTTGGAGATCAGGGCGTAACCTCGGGCGTCGAGCTGGAAACTGAGCGCGCTTTAAAAGATCATGAGCTGATCAAGGTGAAAATTTCCATCAGCGACCGGGAAGCCAGAGACCTAGCAGCTCATGCTCTTGCTGCGACCTGTCATGCTGAAATCGTGCAGCGTATCGGCCGGGTTTTTGTGTTCTATCGGGAAAACCCGAAAGCCAACCCCAAGTTATCCAACGTTAAACGCTTCGCTTGAACGTACACTCAGCGGATAGTTATCAACGGTACTCGACCCGATCAATCTCGTATTCTCGATCTCCGCCAGGCGTGGCTACTGAGACTGCATCACCGACGCTTTTACCGATCATGGCGCGAGCTATTGGTGACATGACAGAAATTTTGCCCACTTTCAGGTCGGCTTCGTCTTCACCCACAATCTTGTAGGTGATTTCTTCATCGTTGTCGACGTCCAGCAACGTGACCGTGACACCAAAGATTACTTTTTCGCCCTGGGGCAGTTTCGCCACATCAATAATCTGGGCATCCGCGAGCTTACCTTCAATGTCCTGGATACGGCCCTCGTTGAAGCCCTGCTGCTCACGTGCAGCGTGGTACTCAGCATTTTCCTTCAAATCACCATGTTCGCGCGCTTCGGCGATCGCCTGAGTGATCTCGGGACGAAGCACACTTTTACGATGCTGGAGTTCTTCGCGCAGATTTTCTGCGCCTTCTAGTGTCATAGGCGTCGGCATAGCTTGCCCGTTAAGTCGATTAATAGGAATTTTGAATTACGCATTGATTATAAAGCAGCGTGAATATCTTGCAGCCGCCTGACCCGATCACCCTGCCCCTGAGTAATTGCAATCGCAATCGCTTCCCCTCCAGCCAAAGTAGTTGTGTAACAGATTTTTTTCTGCAGCGCGAGACGACGAATCACCGCAGAATCTGCAATAGATTTACGCCCTTCGGTGGTGTTGATAATCAGATCTATCTGATCGTTCTTGACCATATCCGAAACATCCGGACGACCTTCATTGACCTTGCTGATCTTTGCGCAGCTGATACCGGCGCGCTCCAGACAGCGCTGGGTACCACGGGTAGCCACAAACGTAAACCCCTGGTCCGCCAGAAGCTGGGCGATTTGCGGCAGATTTTCTTTGTCAGAGTCTTTCACGCTGATGAACACGCGGCCTTGCTCAGGCAACACTTCGCCCGCGCCCAGAGCGGCTTTTGCAAAAGCTTCGCCAAAGGTATCGCCAACTCCCATGACTTCGCCGGTAGATTTCATCTCCGGGCCAAGAATCGGATCTACACCCGGGAACTTGTTGAATGGGAATACGGATTCTTTCACGTTGAAAACGGTTGGAATGATCTCTTTGGTAAACTTCTGTTCAGCAAGGGTGGTTCCCGCCATACAGCGGGCAGCAACTTTTGCCAGGGAAACGCCTATACACTTGGACACAAACGGTACGGTACGGGATGCACGCGGATTCACTTCCAACACAAATACATCTTCACCCTGTACCGCCATCTGCACGTTCATAAGACCAACAACACCAAGCTCAAGTGCAAGATCTGACACCTGCTGGCGAATAATGTTCTGGATATGCATCGGCAGATTGTATGGTGGCAGCGAGCAGGCTGAGTCACCGGAATGAATACCTGCCTGTTCAATGTGTTGCATGATCGCGCCAATGACCACCTGATGGCCGTCACAAACAGCGTCGACGTCCACCTCTACGGCCTGGTCCAGAAACCGGTCCAACAACACAGGTGAATCGTTAGACACATCTACAGCGTTCTGCATGTACTGCATCAGCTCATCGTCGTTGTAGACAATTTCCATCGCTCGTCCACCCAGCACATAAGACGGCCGCACAACAATCGGATACCCAATGGCCTGAGCACGCTCAATGCCCTGATAGGCACTGGAAGCCACGCGGTTGGCTGGCTGACGCAGCTGTAATTTCTCAACCAGCTGCTGAAAACGTTCACGGTCTTCCGCCCGATCAATTGCGTCCGGCGTTGTGCCTATAATCGGCACACCTGCTGCCTCCAGATCGTTTGCCAGCTTCAGCGGTGTTTGTCCGCCGAACTGGACGATCACGCCGACCGGTTGTTCCACATCGCAGATCGCAAGCACATCTTCCAGGGTGACCGGCTCAAAATACAGCCGATCAGACGTATCGTAATCCGTCGATACTGTCTCCGGGTTACAATTCACCATGATGGTCTCATAACCATCTTCGCGCATGGCCAGTGCCGCGTGAACACAGCAATAGTCAAACTCAATACCCTGACCGATTCGATTCGGGCCACCACCCAGAACCATAATTTTCTTACGCTCCGACGGCAGCGATTCACATTCTTCTTCGTAGGTCGAATACATATAGGCACTGCTGGCCGGAAACTCAGCCGCACAGGTGTCCACACGCCGATAAACAGGCCTGACATCCAAGGCCTGGCGAAGCTGACGAATTTCGCTTTCGTCCGTCGCCAGGAGCTGCCCCAGGCGCGCGTCAGAAAAGCCTTTGCGCTTGAGGCGATACCAGTCTTCTTTGCCCAGAGCGATGGCAGACACATTAGCCAGGCTGATTTCCGTGCTGATGAGATCTTCAATTTCAGCCAGAAACCAGGGATCGATTTTGGTCGATTCAAAAATATCTTCCAACGACCATCCAGCACGAAACGCATCAGCCACATACCAGACACGCAGCGCGCTGGGTGTGCCCAGCTCTCGCTTCAGGGTAGCGTTCAGCACGTCTGCAGCAACGCTGGCGTCCAACACCGGATCAAAACCTGACATGCCGGTTTCGAGTCCGCGCAGGGCTTTCTGCATGGATTCCTGAAAAGTTCTGCCAATCGCCATCACTTCGCCAACAGACTTCATCTGCGTGGTTAAACGGGCATCAGCCTGAACAAATTTTTCAAACGTGAAGCGTGGTATTTTGGTCACCACATAGTCAATGCTGGGTTCAAACGACGCCGGTGTAATACCGCCGGTAATATCGTTCTCCAGTTCATCGAGGGTATAGCCTACGGCAAGCTTGGCCGCCACTTTCGCAATCGGGAAACCGGTTGCCTTGGACGCTAACGCGGAGGATCGGGAGACCCGCGGATTCATTTCAATGACCACGGTGCGGCCCGTATCGGGATCGATGGCAAACTGAACATTTGATCCGCCGGTATCAACGCCGATTTCCCGCAATACCGCGATCGAAGCATTTCTCAGCAACTGATATTCTTTGTCGGTCAGCGTCTGCGCTGGCGCAACCGTAATACTGTCGCCAGTATGCACACCCATCGGGTCCAGGTTTTCAATGGCACAGACGATGATGCAGTTATCGAGGTGATCACGCACCACCTCCATCTCAAATTCTTTCCAACCGACCAAAGATTCATCGATCAACAATTCCGACGTCGGTGACAATTCCAGCCCACGATTACAGATTTCAACAAATTCTTCTGAATTGTAGGCGATGCCGCCACCACTTCCGCCCATGGTGAACGAAGGTCTTATCACACAGGGGAAGCCAAGCTGGCTTTGCACCTGCAGCGCTTCTTCCAGGCTATGGGCAATAGCAGAACGGGCGGTATCAAGGCCAATGCGCTTCATGGCGCGATCAAAACGCTCGCGGTCTTCCGCTTTATCAATCGCATCCTGGCTGGCGCCAATCAGCTCAACATTGTATTTATCGAGCACACCTTCCCGCACCAGATCCAGCGCGCAGTTCAGCGCCGTCTGTCCACCCATTGTGGGGAGCAGTGCGGTGGGTTTTTCCTGTTCGATGATCGCTGCAACCGTGCGCCATTCCACCGGCTCAATGTACGTCGCATCAGCCATGGCTGGGTCAGTCATGATGGTCGCTGGATTGGAGTTCACCAGGATGACCCGATAACCCTCTTCCCGCAGGGCTTTACAAGCCTGGGCGCCAGAATAGTCAAACTCGCAGGCCTGGCCGATCACAATGGGACCGGCGCCTAGAATCAGAATACTGTCTATATCGGTTCTTTTAGGCATCCGCTTGTCCATCCGCCATCATGTTGATGAATTTATCGAATAAATACACACAATCCTGGGGGCCGGGGCTTGCCTCTGGATGTCCCTGGAAACCAAAGGCCGGCACGTCCGTTCGCGCCACACCCTGAACGGTACCGTCAAACAGAGAAACATGTGTGCAACGCAGGTTGTCCGGCAAGGTATCGCCGTCCACCGCAAAACCATGGTTCTGACTGGTGATGATGACCTGCCTGGAGTCGTTGTCCTGCACTGGATGATTAGCGCCGTGGTGGCCGTGGGACATTTTCAAAGTGCTGGCACCACTTGCCAGAGACAACAGTTGATGCCCCAGGCAGATACCAAAAACAGGCAACTTGTGTTCTAACAATTCTTTTATGGCTGCTATGGCATAGTCGCAGGGTTCCGGGTCACCAGGACCGTTCGACAGAAAAACACCGTCGGGCTTCATGGCCAGCACCTCAGCCGCCGGTGTTTGTGCTGGTACTACCGTAAGGTCACAACCGCGGCTTGCCAGCAGCCTTAAAATGTTGCGCTTCACGCCAAAATCGTAGGCCACCACCTTGTACGGTGTTTGCCCTACTGTTCCGTAACCATCCTCCAGGGACCAGCTGGTTTCGGTCCATGTGCGCTGGGCGCCGGTGACTTCTTTCGCCAGGTCCATGCCTTTGAGGCCAGGGAATGCTTGTGCTTGGGCCAGTGCTTTGGCTTTACCTTCATCGGTGCCGGCGTCTGAACCCGCAAGGATACAACCCGCCAATGCGCCTTTCTCTCGAATCAGCTTTGTCAGCCTGCGCGTATCTACATCGGCTATGGCCACAACGTTTTCACTGCGCAGCAATTGCTGCAGGGATGTTTTTGCCCGCCAGTTGCTCAGGCGCCGCGGCGTCTGGCGAATCACCAGTCCCGCGCTCCAGATGCGATCAGATTCAAAGTCTTCCGGAGTACATCCGGTATTGCCAATTTGGGGGTAGGTCAGGGTAACAATCTGCTGAGCGTAGGAAGGATCGGTGAGGATTTCCTGATAGCCCGTCATGGCAGTATTGAACACCACTTCGCCAACGGAGGATCCTTCGATCCCAATCGACTGGCCGTAAAAAACACTACCGTCCTCTAAAGCGAGTAATGCCGGTATCAAGTGAGCTTCCCTTTTAGTGTGTCGGTGCGGTTACCAACTGCATTCGCGTCTTAGGCGCGCGATTTAACCGGGCTCAACAAGTGTTCTGCTGGATGGGCGTGGCTTACTTTGGAGCAATCCACGTCGGGTTGAACTTAAGGCCGAGAGTCTACTCACCTGGCTGATAAAAATCAGCAAAAAACTGTGCTTCAGATGTCTAAAAGTGTCTGCATCGAGTATTTACCCGGCGCTTTGTTGTGAATATGCCGCACTGCACGTAACGCACCCAGGGCAAAATTCATCCGACTCGAAGCCCGATGGGTAATTTCCAGCCGCTCTCCATCACCAATAAACATAACCGTATGTTCACCCACAACATCGCCGCCACGGATTGTCGAAAACCCAATGGTGTTACGTTCGCGGGCGCCGGTAATGCCCTGACGCCCATAGATGGCATCTTTTTCAAGGTCACGATCTAAAGCTTCCGCCAACACCTTACCCATGTGCACCGCGGTGCCTGAAGGCGCATCCACTTTGTGTCGGTGGTGGGCTTCGATCACTTCAACATCAACGTCATCACCCAGCGCGCGTGCAGCCATCTCAATCAGTTTAAAGGTGAGATTCACCCCGACACTCATATTAGGGGACATGAACAGAGGCACCTGGTCAGCCGCGCGCTCAAGTTGCTTGAGTTCGGCATCGGTAAAGCCGGTGGTGCCGATCACCATGGCTTTGCCCTCTCGACTGCAGAACTCAGCCAGACTCAGCGTCGCCTGGGGTGCGGTGAAATCTATCACCACCTCAAAATCTTCAGGCTTGGCTTGCGCAAAAGGTGAAATCACAATGCCCAGCGCGCCTACACCTGCGAGTTCACCTGCATCCGCTCCCAGAGCTGTGCTGGAAGCGTGTTCAAAGGCGGCGCCTAATTGCAGATCACTACTTTCTGTCAGCGCCTGTATCAGGGTTTTACCCATGCGGCCGGCAGCACCGGTAACAGCGACGCGCAGCATCAGCCGGTTAATCCGTCAAAGAAATTTTTAACCCCATCAAACCAGGACTTTTCCCGCGGTGAATGCTTAGCGCTTTCACTCAACGAGACTTTCAGCTCCTGCAGCAGTTCTTTCTGGCGATCGGTCAGTTTTACCGGCGTTTCCACCACCACCTTACACAAGAGGTCACCGACCCCGCCGCCACGCACCGGGGTCACGCCTTTGCCACGTAACCTGAAAATCTTACCGGTCTGGGTTTCCGTGGGAATCTTGAGTTTTACCCGACCATCGAGGGTGGGGACTTCAAGCTCTCCACCGAGGGCCGCATCAACAATTGATATCGGCACTTCACAATAGAGGTTGCGCCCATCACGGGAAAAGATGGCATGTTCGCGCACGTCTATCTGTACATAAAGGTCTCCCGGCGGGCCACCGTTCATGCCTGCTTCGCCTTCGCCGCTGAGACGAATGCGATCGCCCGTGTCCACCCCGGCAGGTACTTTCACAGACAGCGTTTTACGCTTTTCTGCCCGTCCGGCACCGCTGCATTTGCGACAGGGATCGCTGACTATGCGGCCCTGGCCACGACACCGTGGGCAGGTTTGTTGCAGCGAGAAGAAACCTTGAGAGACGCGAATCTGGCCGGCGCCCTGACAATCAGGACAGGTACTTGGCGTGGTGCCTGGGGCTGCGCCACTGCCATCACAATCTTCGCAGGTGGTGAGCACAGGAATACGCACTTCCACAGTATCGCCGCTGACAGCCTGTTCCAGATCAAGCTGCATGTTGTAGCGCAAATCCGAACCACGGGACATACCGTTGGCGCTACGGCCACCACGGCCCCCGCCAAAGATGTCTCCAAAGACATCACCAAAAATGTCGCCAAAGTTGCCTTCAAAGCCCTGGCCACCACCCTGATTCGGATCGACGCCGGCATGACCGAACTGATCATATGCCCGCCGTTTTTCACGCTCAGAAAGAATTTCGTAGGCCTCTGAGGCTTCTTTAAACTTATCGTCTGAATCTGGATCGTCGGAATTGCGGTCCGGATGGAACTTCATCGCCAAGCGACGGTAAGCTTTCTTCAGCTCTTCGTCTGAGGCGTCTCGATTGATGCCTAGTACTTCGTAGTAATCTCGCTTGGACATAATTAACTCTAAATCTTTTTGTGCTCTACTTCTTTTAGCCGTCTCACATATACGACAAACGCGGCGCCTGCCGTAAAGCAGGCGCCGCGCTGTAAGACAGGCTGGAGAAGAAGCTTACTTCTTATCTTCGTCTTTGACCTCTTCAAACTCTGCATCTACCGCATCGTCTGAAGCGTTCTGACCACCGTCTTCCGCTCCCGGTGCGGGGCCAGCCTCAGCTGCTTCCGCTTCGTACATTTTCTGCGCTAGCCCTGCGGATGCCTGAGACAGCGTCTGCATTTTAGCTTCGATGCCTTCTTTGTCGCCGTCCTTAAGCGCTTCCTCAAGCTCTTTCGCGGCGTTTTCGATGGCTTCTTTTTCTTCAGCTGAAGCTTTATCACCGGCCTCTTCTACCGCTTTGCGGGCGCCGTGTACCAGACTGTCTGCCTGGTTACGCAGTCCAACCATCTCTTCGAATTTCTTATCTTCTTCAGAGTGGGCTTCCGCATCGCGGATCATCTGCTCGATCTCCTCATCCGACAGTCCGCTCGAGGCTTTAATCACAATCGACTGTTCTTTGCCCGTTGCTTTGTCTTTTGCAGAAACATTCAGAATACCGTTGGCATCCAGATCAAACGCGACCTCAATTTGTGGCAAGCCACGAGGTGCAGGCGGAATGTCTTCCAGGTTGAACTGTCCCAGCGACTTGTTCTGGCCAGCTTGTTTACGCTCACCCTGCAACACGTGGATGGTAACCGCAGTCTGATTGTCGTCCGCAGTAGAGAAAGTCTGAGTTTTCTTTGTTGGAATCGTTGTGTTCTTTTCAATCAACACACTCATCACTGAACCCAGCGTTTCGATACCCAGAGACAGAGGGGTCACATCAAGCAGCAACACGTCGGTTACATCACCGGCAAGCACTGCTGCCTGGATCGCTGCACCAATCGCAACCGCTTCATCAGGGTTCACGTCACGGCGAGCATCTTTGCCGAAAAAGCTCTTCACTTTCTCCTGCACCAGCGGCATACGAGTTTGACCACCGACCAGAATCACATCGTCAATATCACTGATGGTCAGGCTGGCATCGTCTAATGCCGTCTGGATGGGGCTGATTGTGCGCTGTACCAGGTCTTCGACCAGAGATTCCAGCTTGGCACGGGTCAGCTTCAGCACCAGGTGCTTGGGACCAGTCTGATCTGCGGTGATGTACGGCAGATTTATTTCTGTCTGCTGGCTGTTGGACAGTTCGATTTTGGCTTTTTCAGCGGCTTCTTTCAGACGCTGCAGTGCCAGTGGATCGCTATGCAGGTCAACGCTGTTGTCTTTCTTAAATTCGTCTGCAAGATAATCAATGATGCGCAGATCGAAGTCCTCACCACCGAGGAACGTATCACCGTTGGTCGACAGCACTTCAAACTGGTGCTCGCCGTCCACTTCAGCAATTTCAATGATAGACACGTCGAAGGTACCACCACCCAGGTCGTAAACGGCTACCTTGGCATCGCCACGCTTCTTATCAAGGCCGTAGGCCAGCGCGGCCGCGGTGGGCTCGTTGATGATGCGCTTAACTTCCAGACCCGCGATCTTGCCCGCGTCTTTGGTCGCCTGACGTTGAGAATCGTTGAAGTAAGCCGGCACGGTAATTACCGCCTCAGTGACTTCTTCACCAAGATATTCCTCTGCGGTTTTCTTCATCTTCTTCAGGGTTTCGGCAGACACCTGGGGCGGCGCCAGCTTTTCGCCTTTTACTTCAATCCAGGCATCGCCGTTAGCCGCTTCGGAAATTTTGTACGGCACCATCTTGATGTCTTTCTGCACAACGTCATCTTTGAACTTTCGTCCAATCAAACGCTTCACTGCAAAAAGCGTATTCGTGGGGTTGGTGACTGCCTGGCGCTTCGCATTCTGACCAACCAGGATCTCACCATCTTCGGTGTACGCAATAACTGAAGGTGTTGTGCGATCGCCTTCAGAATTTTCGATGACGCGAGGCTCACCGCCTTCCATGACAGCGACACACGAGTTGGTGGTGCCAAGGTCAATACCAATAATCTTACCCATTATCTTTTCTCCACAAATTCCCAGCAGGAATGTTCTTAACTTGTTGCTCTATATTTGGTCGAACTGTTTAACTTCAAGTGCTCAATGAGGCCTTTTTCAGGCATCCGGCGCTTTGGCGACAATGACTTTTGCAGCCCTGACCAGACGGCCGTTGAGCAAATAGCCCTTCTGCATCACGTCCATCACTGAATTGGGCTCTGCAGCAGGGTTAGGCACCATGGTCATTGCCTCATGCATCTGAGGGTCAAAGGGCTCACCCAGCGGATCAATCTGTTCAACACCGGATTTGGCAAGCGTATCGACAAACAGCTTGAGCGACAGCGCTACACCTTCGGCTATGGGCTGGGCGCCCTGGGTCTGCTCCGCCGTCTCAACCGCCTTTTCAAGGCTGTCGACAACAGGAAACAGATCGCTGAGTAATTTTTCGACGGCAAATTTGTGCGCATTTTCGATGTCTCGAGCGGCACGTCGTTTGACGTTTTCCATCTCCGCAAGGCTGCGTAGCACCTGATCTTTCAGATCGGCAATTTCGGCCGCGCCTGGTTGTTCGGTTTCAGCAGCGCCCTCGCCACTGTCCTGGGTGACATCGTCCGCCTGATCAGCGGGATTGTCGTGATTGTTCTCGTCTTGTGCCATAGCCGGCCCCTGCTCTCGGATTCGACCGTCCTATATGCGGTCGGAAGGGGCTGATTACAAGGGTTGCTGAGATTTTTTTAACCGCGCAAGGAAATCAATTCTGTTAAGCACGGCGCATGGCCGCGCTCAATAAGCGGGCGGTGACGTCTACGACGGGGATCACATCAGAGTAGTGCATGCGGGTTGGGCCAATGACGCCTAAAACGCCAGCTACTTCACCATTCACCTCATAAGCTGAAGTGACCAGCGATGCATCTCCGAGAGGTTGATAACCAGACTCATCACCGATGAACAGCTGAACCCCGCTACTCTGTAGACACCGGTCCAGCAGGTGCAGCACCCGGCCTTTGTGGGAGATGGCATCAAAAAGACTTTTCACCTGGTCAGTGTCGGTACTGAAGTCGAGCAGCCGGTTTTCGCCTTTGACCAGCAGATCCGGGTCGCGCTCTGCAGGGTCTTCAACAAATGTAGCCGCAGCCATATCCAACGCTGTCTGCATCAGCGTATCCATGTGATCCTTGTCCGCCTGCATGCTCTGCACCAGCGCTTTGCGGATGTCGATCAGAGCGCTACCACCAAACTCCTGGTTGATATAATTTGCAGCCTGAGTCAGCTCGACAGAAGAATATTCGCGCTCAGTATGAATCACTCTGTTCTGCACCTCGCGATCATTCAGGACCAGAATCACCAGCACGCGCTCTTCATCCAGACGTACAAACTCAACCTGCCGCAGGTTGACCTGATTACGCAACGGCGTCGTGATCACACAGGTCATCTGAGTAATGTGGGACAGTAGCTCTGAGGCTGAAGCCACCAGCTCAGCAGGTGCCAGGTCTGGATTCAACTCCGCTTCAATTTCCCGTATACGGGATTCTGCAAAGGGTTCAACGTGCAAAAGAGAGTCTACAAAAAAGCGGTAACCCTGAGTTGTGGGTATTTTCCCCGCTGAGGTATGTGGAGACTTGACCAGCCCCATGGCTTCCAGGTCGCCCATGATGTTGCGCACCGTTGCGGATGACACTGTGATTTCAGGTCGAGTGGCCAGAGTTTTGGAAGCAATGGGTGAGCCGTCAGCAATATATTGCTCAACAAGCAGCTTGAACAGCTGCTGGGCACGAGGATCAACCTGATTGTCCATGAGTTCTCGATTTGCCATCTGGTTTGTCCGAGTTATTCACTTACGGAAAATAGTCGCTTTTGCCTACCTTATTTTTTCCGTCCTTTTATACATTAGGACTGTAGCGTTTGCGTATCAGAATTAGTGAACTGTTTGACCTGCTTGGGTTACGCTTGGCTACTACTATTGACACATTGCCATGCTCAAGCAACTAACCCTACAAAATTTTGTCCTGGTGACTGCCCTGGACATCGACTTCAATGCCGGTCTGACTACCATAACCGGAGAGTCTGGCGCGGGTAAGTCCATCCTCCTGAATGCACTGGGTCTGCTGCTGGGTGAACGGGCACGCACTGAGGTGATCCGCCCGGGTGCGGATAAAGCGGATGTTTGCGCGGAATTCGATTTAGCGCACCTGCCCGCGGTACAAGCACAGCTGGCCGAAGCTGAGCTGCTCAGCGAGACGCCGGAGCAGGTGCTGGTGCGTCGGGTGGTCTCCAGCCAGGGTCGCTCACGCGCCTTCGTTAACGGCATTCCCGTCACTACTGCATTTCTGAAAGACCTGGGCGAGCAACTGGTAGACATTCACGGCCAGCACGAACACCTGCGCCTGGCTAACCGCAACACCCAGCTGAGCCTGCTCGACGACTACGCGGGTCTGACAAAAACTGCGCTTGAGGTAGGCACCCTGTATCGCGACTGGCAGGCAGAAATCCAGCGTATAGAGGTATTAGAAGCGCGGCTGGCCAGTGCTGCAGATCGACAGGATTTACTCGCCTACCAGCTCCAGGAGCTGGAAGAATTCGACCTCAAGGCCGACGAATTCAGAGTGCTTGAACAGGATCACAAACGCCTGAGCCGCGCGCACACCACCCTTGCCAGCCTGCAACAGGCGGTAGATAAACTCGAAGAACTGGATGACCTGCGCCATGCCGTGCGCCAGATACAGAACATAGACGACGAGCACCCCGATCTTGCATCTGGACAAGCAAACCTGGTTTCGGCACTGGGTTTGCTGGACGACGCCAGCCGTGATTTACGCCACTACCAGGACAAAGTGGTGGTTGATCCGGAAGCTATGGCTTTGATCGAATCGCGGCTGAATATCGCTCAGGATCTGGCCCGCAAACACCGGGTTGAACCCGAGGCATTACATACCCACGCTGCGGCCCTGCGAGCAGATCTGGACGCCCTGGATGCAGATGGTTCGTCCCTGGGCGACATGCGCATCCGCGCGGAAGCGCTCAAACAGGACTTCGATAAGCAGGCCAAAACACTGTCGACCAAACGGCGCAAGGCGGCACCCAAATTCGGCAAAGCCGTCTCACAATTCATGCAGAGCCTGGGTATCAAAAAAGGCGAATTTGCCATCGCTTTCGAAGAACATACCGGCGAACGCGGCCTCGAACGGGCAGAGTTCATGGTCACAACTAACCCCAGCTTTCCGGCCGGCCCGTTAACTCAGATAGCCTCAGGCGGAGAACAAACCCGCATCGGTCTGAGCATTCAGATTGTGGCTGCGCAAAACAGCGCCCTGCCGTGTTTGATTCTGGATGAAGCGGATGTTGGGGTAGGCGGTACAACCGCAGACACCGTGGGGCGCATTCTGCGTGACCTCGGCAGCCACACGCAGGTGATCTGCATTACCCACGCACCCCAGGTAGCCGCGCTGGGCGACAGTCACTACCGTGTCACTAAAAAGGGTGACAATACACAGATCCAACCGCTCAGCGATGACCACCGTATAGAAGAACTTGCCCGCATGCTGGCCGGCGCCGACATCACGGATGAGACCAGGGAATACGCCCGCACGCTTCGCGGTGGTGCGATCCACTAATAGCGCGTAATATCGCGGTCCAATTCAATTTGTTGAGACGCTGCGTTGTTGGTTCGAGCCCTATCCACCACCCTTATTGCCATGATGTTAACCGGCTGCAGTCTGCCCAACATTCAGCTGCCACGTCTGTACAAAGTGACGGTACAGCAAGGCAATGTGATTACTCAGGAAATGGTTAACCAACTCAAGCCGGGAATGACCAGGAGCCAGGTCGCCTTCATTATGGGCGAGCCGGTCCTGCGCAACACCTTCAACGAAAACCGCTGGGATTACGTATATAGCGTGGTATTGCCAGGCTACTTCAACCAGGAAACACGCATGAGCCTGTTCTTTGAAGATGACGTTCTTGGCTATTTCACAGGTGATTTAGTGCCTGAATCCGCCAATCCTGACAGCGAAACCGAAACCGACACCGACACCGACACCGCAGAAGAAACCAGCTAACGCTGCTTCTGCTTCTCCCTATGCTTTTGGGCGCGCGCAAGACGTGCAGCCTTGGCATCCATAAGCAAAGGTCGGTAAATCTCCAGGCGGTCACCCTCCAGCAATACGCGTGCGCCATCACAGACCTGGCCAAAGATACCGACCTGATGAGTCGCTAGATCCAGTTCGGAAAAAGGTGCCTGCTGAGACACCTGTTGCAGCAAATCGCCTACAGTGGTGCCGGTTGGTACCTGCAGAGCGCGTAGCGTCTGCTCACTGGGCGTTGCATATGCCACCTCTACCGATATGCATTCACTTTGACTCATTTAACCTGCTGGTATTCAAGCAGAATCCGGTCACTGAACGCATCTACTAACCGGTCCGCAATACGATCTGTAAAGCCGCCGAGAATCCGCGCCACAATGCCCTTAGGCAGAAAATCGATACGCAGGTCTACCCGGCAACCCAGATCACCTAACGGTGTCAGCTGCCAGCGACCTTCAAGCACTTCAAAGGGACCTTCACGCAAAGACATGACAACAGATTCAAAAGGCTGATGGGTGTTTTCGGTGACAAATGATTCACGCAGCCCTTTACCGGCAACCGATACCTGCGCAATCAGCCCGGTGGGCGTGGCCTGCAGAATCTCGACCTGCTCACAACCCGCGACAAAATCCGGATACTTCAGCACATCCACAATCACGGCATAAGCCACAGGCACCGGCACTTCCAGCAATGCCGATCGCTCGAGGGTTTTCACGGATTCAGCAGACCCTGGATCATGGGCCACAAGCTATATACAAACACCGCTGCGACACCTAACGGCGCAATGATGCCGCCCACCACGCGCCACAGGAAAAATGGTAAGCCGCCATCAAAGCCAAGCTGTTTCTGCAACACTGTTTTGGGCACCATCCAGACGGCAAACAAGGCAATCAACATGCCGCCTAAGGGCAGCATGATGTTCTGCGACACGTAATCAACAAAATCGAAAATCGTGAGTTGCCCGACCACAAAAACATCCGACCAGATATTGAATGAGAACACCGTACCCAGCCCGAGAATCCAGCAGATCACACCCAGGCTGATCGCTACACGTTTACGTTTAGCGTTGTATTCCTCCACCAGATAAGCCAGAGCAGGCTCAGTAAGTGATATGGCTGAGGTCAGCGCAGCAAACGTTACCAGCACGAAAAACAAGGTTCCAAACACAATACCCAGAGGCAGTTGACCAAACGCTAACGGCACCGTGACAAACATCAACCCTGGACCCTGTGCAGCATCTAAACCATTTGCAAACACGATGGGGAAAATGGCGAGACCAGAGGCAACCGCAACCAGGGTATCGAGAATAGCGATGGTGATCACCATGCCACCAATGCCCGCATCTTCAGGTACATAGGCACCGTAGGCCATCATTGCGCCCATACCCAGACTCAGAGTGAAAAACGCCTGCCCCATGGCGATCAGCCAGATTTCCGGATTGGTGAAGGCATCCATATCCAGGTGGAACATGAAATCGAACCCCTGCTGGAAACCACCGGAGGTCACACTGTAACCGAGCAATACTACCAGCAGAAGAAACAGCATCGGCATAAAAAGGCGAATAGCGGTCTCCAGGCCTTTGGTGACCCCTTTACCAACAATCCAGATGGTGAGCGCCATAAATATGGTCTGCCAGAGAATGAGCTGCCAGGGATTCGTTAGAAAGTTATCAAACGTTGTGCTGACCGTTTCCGGGGAGGCGCCGGCAAATGTGCCAACACCACTGACCCAGATATAGTTCATTGCCCAACCGGCAATCACCGCGTAATAGGACAGAATCAGGAAGCCGGCCAGCACGCCCATCCAGCCAATCAAGACCCACAACGGGCTGCGCTTGCCCATCTCTGTAAGTTTGCGCATTGCATTAATCGGGCTGGTACGACCTTCGCGCCCTAACATGACTTCGGACATCATGATCGGGATACCCACAAAGGCGACACAAATCAGGTAGATCAGCACAAACGAGCCGCCGCCGTTTTCGCCGGCCATATATGGAAACTTCCAGATATTGCCAATGCCCACTGCGGAACCTGCTGCAGCGAGAACAAACAACCAACGTGACGACCACATGCCGTGCCTTGAATCTGATGCCAATGCCATATCTATTTCTTATCTGAGTGCAGTGGAGGCACTATTCTACTACTTGCAGGTCAAACTGATATACTCCCGCGCCCACTTAGGCCCCATAACCACAGCGAATGCCGCTTTGAGTAAAACCACTAAAAAAGGCACCCCATCTACAACAATTGCGTTGAACAAACGTGCGCGCCACGAATTCTTCCTGGAGCAGAAGTTCGAGGCGGGGATTGCGTTACAGGGATGGGAACTGAAAGCCATTCGAGATGGCCGGGTTCAGATTACCGAAGCGTTCATCAATTTACACAAAGGTGAGGCCTACCTCGCCGCTGCCAATATCACACCGCTGGTCAGCGCTTCAACACACGTGGTGCCGGAGCCGCAACGCAACCGCAAGCTGCTGCTACACGCGCGCGAGCTTGCGCAGATTTTCGCCGCCACCCAACAGAAAGGTTATACCTGCGTGCCTACGGCGATGTACTGGAAAGGCAACAAAGTGAAACTTGAAATTGCGTTGGGTAAAGGCAAGCAGCAGCACGACAAGCGCGCAACAAAAAGAGATCAGGACTGGCAGCGGGACAAGCAGCGCCTGATGAAGGCGCACAACTAAATAGGGTTCTCAGCAACCCACTTGTTGCCGCCAGGCAACCATTTCAATGGCACACGCCGCAGCCTCAATGCCTTTATTGAACTCATCATCCGCTGCTCGTGCCTGAGCATGGGCAATATCGAATACGGGTAATACTTCGACAACAACAGGTCTGCGGAACTCATGCATGACGTCCCCCAGGCCACGCATACATTCGTTGCTGATCATTTCAAAATGCAGCGTCTCGCCTTTGACAATCACGCCAAAACAAATGATCGCGTCAATTTCTTTTTTATCATCCAGGCTCAACAGATCGCGCGCGGCCAGCGGCAGCTCTAATGAACCAGGCAATGTATGTTGCTCGATTTTTTTGTATCCATACTGGCTTAACACCTCAACACACGCAGATGCCATGTTGTTGACGTATTCCGGATACCATTTGGATTTTAGAATCGCGATGCGCCCGCGCTTTTTTATGGCTGGCAGCGAAGTAAGGTCTACTGAAGTTTGCACGGCTCAGCCCGCATCTTGCAGCGGTGCAGATTCCAGCAGCTGCCAGTCACCCGTTTGCGCATCACAGCTGATGCGACCCAGCGCCTCCAGCCGGGTAAATTCTGCCCGGACAGCCCAGCTGCCCATGGGTGAATTGCGCTCACGCAGGGTGGTGTTTACATCGCCAGGTCGCAGTGTGGTTTTACCCTTGGCCACTAATTCCTGAATGATGGCAAATACTTCTTCGGTACGGCGTTGTTCTATGCTCAAGTTATTCGGCCCAGTTATTAGACAGACGATGTATATATCCGCTGGGCTTTTTACCAGAAACCCACTATTCCCGCCAGGGTTGGCTGCGCTCGTACAAACGCAAGCGCTCTTCCAACTGCTCCACGAGTTCATCTTCATCGTCAGCAATTGAGGCAATCGCCTGCCTCTGAGTAGAGATAGCAAGTTCGAAATTCCCTAATTCGGCGTAGGCGGCCGCCAGCGTATCCAGGAAGGCCGCCGTAGGCGCTGCTTCAACGGCTTTCGAGGCTTGATCAACCGCAAGTGTACCGTTGCGTAACCCTTCAAACTTGGAGGTGGCCAGCAGCCAGGCGTAGTCGTTGCGAGACTGTGCACTGCCGGTGTTGGCGGCCATACTCGACCACTTCAAAGCCTGCGCGCGGGCATCACTGGTATCCTGGCGCAGGAAAAAAGACACCAGACGACGCATGGCATCTTCATCTCCGGCAGTTGCACCTTTTTCATACCAGGTTTGTGCTTGCGCGAGGTCTTTCTGCACGCCCAGCCCATACTCATACAGGTGACCCAAGCCCACAAAACTGTCAGCAATGCCTGCCGCCGCAGCCTGGTTATACAACTTCAGCGCCGTATCCGGACTTTCTGCCACGCCGCTTCCGGTAAGATAGGCGTACGCCAGATGTACAGCGGCTGGCGTAAACCCTTCATCCAGCGACTGTTGATAAAGCGACGCGGCCTTTGCCGGGTCCTGTTCCCCGATTTCACCATTGGCATACATGAAACCCATGGACAACACAGCTGCAGGCGCACCCGCAGCGTGGGCTTTTTCGTACCAGGCCAGAGCAAGCTCTGGTTGCGGATCGGTGACATGCTGCATGCGGTAGCTGGAGGCCAGCAACATCATGGAAAACAGGTGGTCCTGTTGAGCGGCTGTAAGCAGCGCCGTGCGGGCGGCCTCAATATTTTTTTCAACTCCATGACCGTAAAGATAGGCGCGACCCAGATGAAAATTTGCCCGGTCATAACCCAGGCTCGCCGCTCGCTCGAAAAACGACAGCGCCACCGCTTCGTCTTTTATCGTACCCTGGCCAGCCCCGTGCAGACGGCCTAACTCAAGCAGCACCACAGG